AAAAATTAGGGAGAAAGAGGGACAAAAGTCAAGCAAGGAAACTAACGATTCAAGAAATTAGCAGAATACTCTGATCTGATAATAGAGGAACGTTGAGTTCGCATTTTCAGATAACAAAAGGCCAATAAACAAGACCTGATGCAGAATTTGCGAGAAAAAAAATAAAGCAGATAAACGTTTTTTCCGTGTTTATTATAAAAAATAACAGGCCAATTTCAATGTAATTTAATCAAATTTTTGGAATATTTTAAATAGAAGTCGACGCGGTCCTAAATATTATTTCGAAGAAAAAACACCGTGAATTAGCGGGCAGATAATCGTCTATTTGTTCTTTACGAGAGAAGACTCTTTTCTGTTCTAGCTACTTTTTGGTTCTTTTGTGGGCAAAATTAATCAAATCCAGAGGGAATAAGCCTCCTAATTGAATCCATTGTTGACTCTGACTTTGCCATTCCGGCTCAAAACTCTCCCTGGTAATAAAATATCGAGGCGAATTAAAGAGTACTGGACTTTAAAATTCACCTGAAGTGTGCATTAAATTAAGTTACAAACGGAACTATAATTATATACCATGTTCCTGCTGCGAACACTCGAGGTAAACAAAGTGCTGTTTATGGTGTACACGTCTGCCTCCTACATCGACCAGATAGAAAAGCCCAATTTTTGAATTTCAATGAACGACACAAATAAAAAATAGCCACAAGTGAACCTGATTAGATTATCTAGCCCCAATTGACTGTCTATTCAACATTGCTTTTAGCCACATGTTGCTCTCTATTTAAAGATATCATTTTAGTTCTTATTTTTCTCCAGATTCACTTTTCTGACAACTAACATACCTTTAAGATGTCCAAAATTAATGAGCACTACGCACTGATTCAGAAAAATTGCCAGGAAAACAGAATTATTTATGTGTCAAATGAGCCATTCTTGGTTAACACAATTCTTTATGACATCACTGTGCAAATTGAAGTCGATGATTAAAGGCGATGTTTTTTGTTATGTTAGAAGCAAAATCATTCTCATGGAAATATATAGAAATTACAAAGAATGAAGCGGTACATTTGGTTATGAAACTGACCCGAGTTTCCTTAATATTTATTGAATCTCATTAATTGGTCACAAGAACTCAAAAAATGATTTCTAGGAACTGCTAGAGGGATATAATTTCAAAAGGCAGTTAAATACCGCTAAAACTAATGAAATTTTAAGTATTTTTTATCTTCATCAAATTTTTCTACAAATAGTCGAAGCGCTGCTTCGAATCATTTGCAATACAGCTCAAGCATAGCATTGCAAGCAAACGAACAGAAAACGAGAGCAAAAATAGTCGAGAAACACAGATAACAGCATTAAAAAGCTTTCAGTATTTACCTAGTTGCCATTAAGTCTCCAATATACGCGTAGACGTCAAGTGAGCCAAAAATAAAAAAAAATGCCATAAGTTATTGACAAAAATAATTTGAACAATTAAATTTAAAACTTCGAACTTTACACGCCTAAATTATTTTAAAAAAAACTTTTACCCTTCAAAAAATACAATGTAAGCTGACAACGCCTAAACCAAAATCATGTAGGCTGAAAAAAGCTTCAAAGCATAAACCGAAATCAAGTAGGCTGAAAAAGCTTTAAAGCGAGAGATCACAAATATACATATACATTATATATATTTGTAATCTCTCGCTTTAAAGCTTTTTCAGCCTACTTGATTTCGGTTTATGCTTTGAATATTTTTTTCTGCCTACATTAGAAGAAGTAAATTTTAGAATAACAGGAACACATCAACAGCACTTGCAACTACAAAGAAAGATAGTTGCAGCTAAAAAAAAATATCTGTGATCTGGCAAGTAAGCCAAAAAAAAACATTAGCAGACAAACATTAGACCGATAATTCAATGTTTCTCGGAATCCCAGAACTTGAGGGTGCAAAGGCAACCGCATTACCTTCAGACCAAGTGTTAAGAAGACTAAAAGCTATCATGGCGTAAAAATAAAACCAGAACAAAGATGTCTAATTCCGGATTGCAATACTTGCTCTCTTAAGTGTCAAGATATCATTTTGCGAGAAAAACACTTCTAATTTTCGTGTGTCACACACTGTGTCCGTTCATATCCATAATCAACATAACTTTTCATCTAAAAATGCATTTTGTGGCACATTATACACAGACGCTATCACTTAAATAAAATACAAGAAAGCAACCCTTTTGAAACACCCCAAAGCACAAAAAAAAATAGTTTTCCCTTCATACAACGCAAATTAGGTTGTCTAAGCCGATATGTAATAAACCGAAACGACTAGGCGAACACATCTTTGATAGCGATAAAAAACTATATAAAAACAGAGGGGGTAAATTTACAATTTACAGGACTAAATCATCATGAGTTTCAATTATCATTATTGCTTCAATTTTTTCATTTAATTTTTAAATTTTTCGGCAAATAAGAGGCAGAAAAACGATAATCAGACAATTAATTTCAACATTTTGGCAAACAAGAGGCAAAACAACGATAATCAGAAATTAAACTGAAAACTAAACAAAAATGAAAAATTGAAATGTCTGACTATCTTTTTTCGCCTACACATGAAAAACTATACTTTCCGATACATGACAAGTAAAAAACCAAATAAAAAAATGGCTGCTGACCTGAATCTTACCCAGCAAATTTGTTTTGACAAGCATTGAATTACCATCTTGATGAACGTGCAAAATGAGTACCTGGAAATTGACATACTAATCAGGTAAGGCAAGCCGAGAAAACAAGCAGAAACGAGTTGCGAACAATTTTTTTACGGGAAAAATTTTTTGCAAAACTTTTTACAGACAAAATGAGCAAAGTTTGGTTTACACGAATGTGTAACTATGCCGAAAACCATTTTAGATTTGAGAATGAGTTAGCTAATATTTTTCTCGGGGCTTCTTCGCTTTCTGTGAGATGTTTCGAAAATTTGATCTCCCGGAACACATCTCGGAGTAAAATGCTTGCTCTGAATATAAAAAAGCTATATGATTTTGAACTTTTTAGAAAATGGTTCGCTGGTTCAAAATGTTGAATATAATGTTCAAAGAGATTTCAAAAAAAATTCTCGAAAACTTGTTATTTGTCAGAATAATTTTATCTCGACCGAGCACAGGTCTGAAAACAATTATTTTCAGAACCGATTTAAAATCAACCTTGCTGAATGCCATTAATACAACTTGGAAACAAAAATTCTAAAGAACAAATTAAAAACTTGAAAAAATTAATGCATTTTCATTTCAATTACTTGCAATCACCTAATATTCAAACAAGTTTTCCATTTAACAAATCACTATTAACACCGGTTGAATTCCATGTATAAGAAAAACTAGTCTAACACTTTTTATATATTGTACAAATTTTCGAGAATGATTAAGCAAGTTTTCGAAGTAAATGATCAAAATAGAAACTTTTATCTTTTTTGAATTATTTTTATAATCAAACAATAATTTCCAAAATAAATCATTAGGTTGCAAATTTTGATTTTTGAGTTCATGACCTTTGAGAACTCACATAACTTTTGTTCTATGTATAACTAGCTTTTTGAATCACAAAAACAGGTAATTGTTTTATGTTGCGTACTATATTGGTGCTGGAAATCATTAAAAATTTAATGCTCAAAATAACAAATTGGTATTTGCACCAAACATTTTGCACAAATAATTTTTATTACGGGCAAAGAATTAAGTTTTTTTGTCATTGTTTTGCACAACCAGTATTTATGAGTTTCGTGACATAGAAGTTGCAACTTTTCAATTTCAACGAGCGAATGAACAAAATTTTCCTCTTATTTGTGCCGTTTTCTCTGCAATTATTCAAGATAGGGGGGCTCTTAGACACACGCTTGATAAAATTATGTAAGAAAGACATAGCAGGATCAAAAATTGAGAAAGCGTAAACTTGTTCAGAAAGCAAGAACTTGCAAATAAAAAATAGTTTTGAAAGCGTACACTAGCTTGTATATCATAACTATGTTCAGAGGTGCTTTTTTTGTGGAAATATCCTAGCAAAAAAAAACACGATCAATTTTAATTTCTGTGCTCATATTGTTTTTTGAGAATCTGATGATCCTGACTTATCGTCGCGAAAAAAAACGACAGACAAAAAAAATAAAAAAGCTTGGCCCGGCGTCAAAAAACGGCAGTTATGTTGATTCTAAATTTTTCCTAACCTTCTGGTGTAAACGCCCAAGACCTTTTAATGTCTGTACCGTCAAAACAGATACAGTGTTTTTTTTAAACCGGAAAAATAAATTTTTCACTTTTTTCTCCGTGGCATAAAGAGTATGTCAAGCTGTTGAGCCAATATATTCAAATTTCTTGTTGTTTGCGCGGATGTTTCCTCGCAAGAACAGCACTAAAATAGTGATGATAAACTGCCGATTTTACGCCTTCATAAAATGGTTTCTTTATTCTCTAATTTTGATCCAGCTAGCTCCTTCCAAGCAGTTTAATCTAGCATTTGTCGAAAATTGAACCCTCTATCTTGAATAGTTGCAGAGAAAATGACAAAAACTTGAACAAATTTGTTTTTTTTCTTGCTCGTTGAATCCAAAACAGTGCAAATTCTTTGCCCCGTGTAAGTATTTTCTCTTGACACTAAGATTATTTGTGAGGCTCTTTTCACTGCAGCTCGAATGACGGTAACCTAATTTGTGAACAAAAATATATGAGATCCCACATTTTGATTTTTCAAATCTTGGAAGTCTACATTTTAAGAAGATAAATTATGAGTTAAGCACTCAATACAAAAAGCACCCGCCGCTCTTAAGAAGATTCAAAATGAACATTGAGGGGAAAGTTTGATGGCAAAAAATAATTCGATTGGAAAAACACTGCGGTTCGTTCAAAATGATATTCACAAACTGTCCAGATATTTCCCTCAATATAAAAATATACGTCGTTTCAGACGCTACTAAGATTACGCAGCAATATACTGCTTTTCAGCACCATTGTAATTCAACTTTGTAAGCTTCTTATTTTAGCATTACATTAAAAATTAAACCATTTTACAATTTATACACGTTCACGTTACGGCGCTCAAAACTCAGCCTCTGATTGAAAACACACCAACATACAAAATAAATCAAGAAAAAATCATCTGGAATCTTCTAGCGATTGGACTTGAATGGAGAATTTGAGCCCCGAAAAAGTAGACCAAGCACGTGACTATCTGTCACTGTTCGATAAAGATGGTGATTCAACTGTCTCAGTATCCGACATTCCGTAAGTTCAATAACGCATTTTTCCAATTAGCTTAATTTCACTCAAGCAAAAAAGCAAATTTCAAAGTTCTAGGTTTTCCTGTGAGTTTTCTATTCGGAAAATTTGTCAAAAAATCGGCTCACTCGAGAAAAAATTTTCCACCAATTTCCAAAAAATTTTCCGAAAATGCAGAACAGCAAAACAGAACGGTACTTCTAAAACCTTCATTACAACATGCTCGGAGTAGCATCTTGATCAAATCTTAATCAAAGCAGACAAACTCATCATCAGCCAGTCTAGACCTCCATAATACCATAAAAGCAACTTCAATCAATGCTCTGCTTTGGCCAGTATGAATCAAAGAAAAACCAACCTTCTGATAATCTGTTTGTAAATCACCCAATATTTCTTCTTGTCCTTCAAATTCCACTATTTGAACTTGCATCTTCTTTGAATGTCGAAATGAAAGTCCACCCAGTCGATCAAGTTTCCATCTTTGGACCCTTCAATCTCAGAAGTCAGCGGCCAACTGACCACATTAATTTCTACTTGTGGCACCATGTTTTGCCTCTTCTGAAATAGATAAAACTATTTCATAACTTATTTGAATGCTACGTTTTTTTTATTGTCATGTAGGTCAAATTTAGAACTTCAATTAGAAGGTTTCCTGAAAAAAGCCTGAATAGAATAAATAGAGAATCCAACCACAGACGCAAAATCTAGATCCCACTCTCACGCATATACTGGTATGACTTAGTCATTAATTTTAGGTATTTACAGCTATGTTATCGGGATTTTTTCATACCGACATCTCAAAAAAAGTCCACCTCTTTCCGCACCCGTTGCAATTACAGAGGATTTGCTGCAATCAGGCACTCGTTTCTGAAAAACGCTTCTATGAACTTACATATTATACCCATTTTTGATTTTTAAGCATAAGATTTTTGTATCTCGAAAGCTACATATAGTTCTAGTCGATTTACAAGTCTTCTGTTTAGCTACAAACAATAGCCTCTTGCTCTGTGCACCTCAAATATTTCTGCGCTTCTTACAGACGATGTCGTTTACTTACCTAGACGAAACAATTTCGTTTAGGAGACCAAAATTTAGACTTGAGAGCAGCAAAATCATGTTGAGAGCAGCAAATCATGTTGAAAGGAATCAAGAGAATCATGTGTAAGGGGAATGTGCTGCGTAAACATAAGTCTGCTGTATTGCTAATAACCAATTAATGGTTATTAGGGTGTTTTTAAATTTATTAGCTCTTGAACTGTGAGGCGCAGAAAACTTATCTGGGTATGACTCGAAAAAACGCATTTTTGGGGTCGAAACCTTCCAGAAAGTGTCCAAAAAACTGCATTTACGGCCTATTTTTTTTCCATTGATATTTTGAGAGCTCGGAAAATGAACCTTAGTTTGATTGAACTAAAAATGGCTTTCAATAATTTTTTTTGAAAGCAACACATCAAGAAACTACTAAATTCGCCCTTACCAAAAAGGATAAAAACTAACCAACTTTTTTTGCGGACCTAACTGATCTTGCCAGAAATTTAACGTTGTCTGATAAAATAAATGAACATTTTTCAGCAAATCTTTTATACACAGAGGCGAAACTGAGCTTTGCACCATTTGTGATACAGCTAGATCTATCAAAATGAATGGATATAATAGTGAAAAAAATGCACAAACAATAGAAAGCAAAATCAGCTTCGGAAAAAATAACCACGCCAAAAATACCTGAGCAGAAACTCTCCAAGCCAATTTTTTTTAATTCAAAAGTAATAAAAAGTTTTTACGTCCCCCTTCACGTTATAACACATACAGGAACAAAAAAAATTCGCGCATCAAACGACGCAAAAAGAGGCTACTAAAGTCGATATAAAACAAGCTAAAACCTATACAGCCGAAACAAAAAAGTTAAGAAATAAACTTTCAACAATTCGAGAGATAAAAATACAACCAACTTAACAAGTGCGGAGAAGAGCGTTAAAATTGTATTTCCGTTTAATTGACCCAAAACTTAGGTCACTTAGCCGATAAAAACTAGGCCGAAATAATTTGGGCCGAAGGAAAAATTTTAAGCAAAACGAAACAGGAAATACAAAGTCAAGGTAAGTAAAATTAAAAATTGCAGGAGTAAATCTAACATTTAAAACACCATTTAAGAAAAAATCGCGCAGCAAAACGACCCCAAGATGTCACAACTCAGCCGACAAAAGATAAGCGGACAAATAACTGGCCGACAATTTTATTTGAAACTGAATATTCTCCGTTTGAAAAAACAGGATCTGGTCCAATTCGAGCCCGTGATCTTTACCGTCCCAGATAAAATCGTTGCCTCCAGGCTAAGAGGCCGGGTCAAGGAATTAGAATTAAATTTGAAATAAAGTCCCACTAGAGATGAGCCCAGAAGAGCCCTCTGAACAAAGTTATTTACGGGAAAAAGTCTAGTTCCCGATTGATTACCCTTGCTTATCACAAGGGCAATCAATCTAATATCAGATATGATACACACAGAGGCGAAGCTGAGCCTCGCGCCACCTACGATACAAAATATGGAAGCCACTAAAACGAAAAAAAAACTCGAAAAAATCGTAAATTTCGATAAAACTAAATCTATGCTAAATAATGCTAATTCTGAAACAAAAACATGCCAAGACACAATAATCCGCAACTAAAATCGGAAGAAAGTTTCCCAATGGCTTACAAAGCCGAAACCGCCTTAGCAGAAACCCTTCAAGCTGAAAAAATACAAGATTTAAGTTTTATAAAAAGTTATTAGGTCCCCCTCACTCTTAAAACACACTCACAAAAATGATTCGCTTGTCAAATCAAAGAAAAAAATAGGACACTAAGCTGATATAATATAGGCTGCCGAAAACTATTGAGGCGGAAAAAACAAGAAAGTAAAAAAAGCGAAAAAAACCAAAAAATTTGAGAATAATGAGAAGTTATTAAATACCCCTCACTCTCAACACACACACGAAAAAAACTTGTATGAGGCTATTAAGCCGATATAATATAAGCCGAAAACTATGAAGCCGAAAAAAAGGAAAAGAATTTTTAACAAATCGGGTTGGTAAAATTACAAATTACAGAACTTATGAAAGACTTTTAAAGCAAAATGAAAACATGCTTTAGAAAGTAAGTCAATAATAAATCGTACCAGATAAAATAAATGGCATTCAAAAAAATATAAAACGAACCGACGGAAAATAGAACGAAAACAATGAATCCGAGAAAAAAATCAACATTTTTCCAAATTTGTTTGAAAAAACTCTTACTGCCTGAAACGAAATCCACCTATCTTGTACCTAAATGATGGTGGTTTTATTTGAATTTCCAAGAAATTGAGCATGTCAGCCACCGGTGAAACGTTCTAATCTTGTACACTGACAATTCTGTGAACAAAGTTATTTATGGGAAAAAAGTCTAGTACCCGATTGCAATACCCTTGCTTATCGCAAGGGTAATGAAAATTATTATGGTTTTTTAATACTTTTAAAAACTTTAAAAGATTGAATTTATTGATCAGGTCAATTCTACGTGCACTTGGCGAGCAGTTCACAGAAGCCGAAATGTCAGATTTAATTGGCCAAATCAAAACAGAGAACGGCTATGTCTCCTTCGACGAATTCCTCACTTTCTACAACAACTGCACTCGGCCAGTCGACCCCTACAGAGACGTACAACTGGCATTCAGCGAACTAGACAGACACCAAACTGGAAAAATAAGTGCCAAAGTACTGCGACATTTCCTGGTTAATCTGGGAGAGAAACTTACAGATGAGGAGGTCGATACAATATTCGCAAACATTGAGATTAGCGAGGACGGAGAAATTGAGTACAGGCAGATCATTAATCTATTCACTGAATTCTAATCAGCAGACAAAAAACCCACAGCCCAGAACTTTTAAAAATCAACTGTTTTGATTAGCAATTTTAAAGAATCTCGCATATCTAGTTTGCTCAATTTAAAACAAAATAAAATTTCTTACCAATCTCCTTTTTAGGGCGAAGTTGAAATTTTCTGATTATACTTACCTTAAATTTCAAGGCGGAAGACAGAATATTAGACAAATGCGCAATTTTTTTTTACTTCGGTTGCACTTTTTTCTCTATGCTCTGACTATATCAAGCAAACGTATCTTTTAAATGAATTATTATACTCAATTAACCTAAGATGAAACTCGGATATCAAAAAAGTAAGCTTTCTTGAACATCTTTGGGGCATTTCTCAGAATATTAATAAGCTGAGAAAAACCTCATCCAAGGAACTATGGCGGAGGATGGAATTTTTCGCAATCTGAAAAACAGCTAGTAGAGCATGAAGTTTTTCGGATTCCAAAAAAAAAGTTTTTCGGATTCCAAAAGTTTCTGCTGTGATTCGGATTCCAAACAAAACATATATATAAAAAAAGCTCACAAAAATGTGGTCTGAATGTTACCATATTTCAAACTGATTTACATAATATCATACTGCCAGCCTGTCAAACAGCTCGTGTGCCTTCAGAACTATTAATTTTTTATTAAGGAGCTTACGATAACGATTGAAGAGCTACAGTCACGGGACATAGCAAATGAACTAACTTTTTTTTCACGTTTTTGTCGTTTTCTGTGCAATCATTTAAGATGTAGGGTTCAAACTACGACAAATGCTGGATGAAACTATTTAGAAGGACTTAGCCGGGCCAAAGTTTGAGAAATCATGTTTCGAAGGCGTAAATTAGCCAGCGTATCATAACTAGTTTTAGAGGTGTTCTTGCTGTGAAACCATCCTCGCAAACAACATAGGGAATTTCAATTTATGGGCTCAAGTGAGTTACGTTGTGTCTAAATTTTGTGCAATTTTCTGGTATAAGCTTCGAAGAACTTTTAATGTATGTGTTATCAAACGGGATATGGCCGTTTTTCGACGCCCGACCAAGTAACTCTTTCAATTCTGCTATCTGTCGCTTTTCGGCGGCACAAAGATTAAGTCAAACTCATTAGCTTCTCAAAGAACTACCTTGAGCCCATAATTCGAAATTCTTCAATTATGTTTTGTTTGCGAGGATGTTTTCACAACAATAACAACTCTAAAACTAGTTATGATATGCTGGTTAGTTTAAGCCTCCGAAACAAGAGTTCTCAAAATTTGACCAAGCTAAGTCGTTGCAAAAAGTTTTATCTAGCAATTGCCGCATATTGAAACCCATATCATCACACAGAGGCGAAGCTGCGCTTAGCAAATACAAGCGAGGAAAATGCAAGAAAGCTCTAAACAGGCAACACAATGAAATAAGGAAAAAGAAAAAGATTTAAAAAACCTTGAGAAAAAATTTTGAATATCAAATTTGACACTAGGAGTATTACGTTGTCCTATCTGCTCGACGACCGCTGGTAATTTTACAAACACTAGCCGCCAATAAATCAGCGAAAATTGGAGCAAAAAATACAACCATTTCAATGTTCCGCGTTTGAATCTCTGACTTGATGATTAGGAGTGTCACTCACGTCCTCATATCTGCGCCACGGTCACGTTGGAGAATAACTAAAAAGAAAAACTACTAATCACTTTTTCAATTGAATTTTTGATCTCAGATTTGGCTGGGTATTTTTCGAAAATATTGAAAGATTCCAAAAAAAACGATTTTTTCCTTTACCATTAACTTTTCTCTAATAAAGCATGGGAATAGCCTCTTATGCAGTGAAGATTTCCATGCCTCGATATTTAGATTCAAACCTTAATATCAGATTTACCAAGTAGTTTTCGAGAATATAGATGAATTTTCTTTACAAAAAAAAATTAACCTCACGTTCTACGGCCTTCGAAAGTTTCAGGAAGTTTTATAATTTTTTTTTTCATTTTCTCAAATTTCAACTGCAGAAATCTGAGTAGAAGGTATCAATCATTAGAAAAAATCAGAGGGATCTCCCTTTTCAACCGCTTATTCCCTGCATTCGGTAGAAAAATAGTTATGGCCTCGAACAAGCCCATTTTTTGGTATTTGAGTTAATTTTTAAAAGTACCCTGCCAAATCGGAGATTGAGGGTTTAACCGAATGAAAAAACCAGTTATGAGTGTCTTCTTGGCGCAAGCGGCTATGCATTGCGTTCTAAAAAAATTTGCTCGATTTATGGAATTTTTTTTTCAAAAACTAACCTGCTGATTCTGACGTTGATAGTTCATTCAATCTAACATGGTGCTTAGAGTTTCCCTGCGAAATCTGTTCCACCTTTTGTTTTGTAAAAAAGCCGTTTTCAGTGATGAAATTTCTAAATAAAACGATATAAAATTCAAAAAATTGACTTTCCCAAAAGCAATGGATTTTCCCATAAGCTTTTGGGAAAAACCATTTTTTGAAATTTTTACCGTTTGTTTTTTTTTAATTTGGAAAAAGCTTTTAAAATCACTGGAAACAGCTTTTGGAAACGGCTTTTCTTCAAAAAAAAGGTGCAACAGATTACGCAGGGAACCTAAGCAACATGTTAGATTGAATGAACTATCAATCTCAGATTCAGCAGGTTAGTTTTTGAGAAAAAAAGTCTCAAAAACTGGTAAAATTTCAAAAAATAGACATTTTCGAAGGCCACAATTTTTAGAACGCTAGGCATAGCCGCTTGCGCAGGAAAGATTCACATAACTGGTTTCTTCTTTCGGTTAAACCCTTAATCTCCGATTTGGCAGGGTAGTTTTAAAAATTAACCTAAATGTCACAAAATAGGCTTGTTTGAGGCCATAACTATTTTTCTACAAAACTTAGGGATCCCCATGATTTGTTCTTCTGATTGAAACCATCATCTCAAATTTGCGCAAAAACTCAAAAATCCTGCTACTGAAACTTTCGAAGGCCGTAGAACTTGGAGTAAAATGAAAAGACCAGCGAAATATGCAGGCACATAGAAGAGTAGCCGATTTGTCCATTGGTACCTTTTTTGAAGAACAGTACAGTAATTTTTGAGAAAAATTGAAATTTCAGCGCAAAGTGCAAAAATTTTTCCAAAGCGTCGCAAAAAAAAACAAAAAACGAATGCCATACATTTTTATAATAGCTGTTTTTCAAACAGGACCTAACACTAGCCAAAAATAAAGCAGCAACAGATGCTATTGAGTTGCCTATGCTTAAATAGGCTTAAACTGAAATATAACAAGAGGGGCACCAAATGAGCACTTTTATTTGCGACTTAGCTTAGAAAAAAATTCTTCGTAACGAAACACTACGCTTCGCTTTTGTAAAATTTGCAGAGAAGACCACAGAAACGAAGAAAAATTTCGTCCACCTGCTCGTTGAAATCGAAAAGTTGCAAACTACTGTGTCCTGTAGCTATAGGAGATGAAGGGTCTTGTAGTACAAGGCTAAAACGTTCTTTACTACATTCAAATCAGCCGACCACATGTGTTTGTTTGTAGTTTTTGGATTAAAAGTGGCCTTTCGACAAAAAATAACTAAATTTCAAAGAATAAAAAAAGTAAAAGACCTATGGGGTCACTATATGGGTACATACATGCCAAAATACAACCCATTTGCAATACAAAAAAACATATATTTAAAAAGTAGCAATATAACCTCAAAACTGTTAAACTATTGAAAAAATTAATATCAGTATTACAATGTATATCAGTACTACAATGTCAGATTTTTGTAATATAGTATGAGTCTTTGGTATTAATTTACAAATATCTATTTTAAGATAGCATAAGTTGCACAAAGTTAAAGTTGCACTTCACAAATACAAGTTGAACACAGACGAAGCTGCGCTTCGCAAGCATTAGCAAGAACACGACAAAAAAGCAGCTCTATGAAGTGAATAAGAAAAAAAGAAATAAGCTTCGAATAAGTAAAAATAAATCAGTAAAAAAAACGTGTCGGATTCGATCCTGCGACCTAGAAATTATGAGTCTCACGCACTAATAACTCAGCCATGGATGCTTAATAAATCATAAACACTATCCACAAAAAAGCAGAGAACAGATGCTATAAAATTTCCAAAGCTACAGATCGTGATTTTAGTAAAAGTGCCACCAAATACTTGAACACTTTAATGAACACCTTTATTTGCGAGTTAGATTAGAAAAGAAGAAGGTTCGTCGTACAAATACACTGCACTGGTCGCTAGTGTAAGAATAACGGCGAAAGAAAAATGCAAAAAAAAAACAGAAATATATTTTGAAAACTAAACAAACTTCAAAAAGTAACTGGTTCTGATAAATATTATTTAAGTCTACCATGGAACTAAAAGGACAAAGTAGCTTGCGTCAATTTAGTTTGGAATTATTACTTGAACGCAACACAATTTAGATTCAATTTTACCGCGCACATAAAAGCCACCAAATTTTTAAGCCATTAAAATTTAACGAAAATTGATTCCAGTATAAAACATTTAATTTGAGCTCTAGGCGTTAAAAATATTCTAAGGGGTGGACATTTCCACCAAAATCTATCAGCCTGCTTAATTTTGCACCTGAGTTGGAAACTGTTTTCATCCTCTAAGTTTCCCTCAGAACTAAATTTTCTGCTCAATTCGGTTCAAAAACTAGACTATTGTCATTGAGAGATATATTGGGTTAGGCCCACAAAATTCGAAAATCTCCAAACCGAGATTAAAGAAACTTGCCAATCTTTACAAGGTATTAGAAGTCACTTTTCAACCCCTAAAGAAAGACTTTAAGAATAAGATAATGAGCAGCAGATCATCCTCTAATGACGTCAAATATCGCGGTCTACTTTGATCGACATGTGATTCTATTTGCCGAATCGTTCATCTTGTTATCTGATCCTTTCTTCGTTAGATTGTTATCTTGATTTTGGAAGAACTGATTCGTCGGACTTTGTGCCTATGAAAGACAAGTCCACTAACCTCGAGCTTTGCATAGGAGTTAACATCAGGCACTTGATCTTAGTAGATAGTTTTCAATCCAATTGACCTTTATGACTTCCTGGAAATACAAAATTGACCAGTTAACAGTTTCGTCTTACATACTGAGCTTCACTGATCAAAACTATAAGATTG